ATGAGTGGGAAAATTCCTATAATTAAATAGGATATATAGGCAAAGAATCCGAACAATTAACATTTAAAAGGGTAATTTTAAATGGATAATAAATAGGAAAAAAATACTTCAATCTCACTAGCATTAAAAAGCTCATTAAACAAAAAAAATTGTGGGCAATTTGACAATTTAAAAATTATGCTATTCAATGCTGGTGAGGCATATGAGTCAGACACTCACATTCTGTGTGAGGACTTGGAAACGGGTTCAGTCCTTCTGGAAAGCTATTTGGCAAAATGTCTCAGAAACCTTAGTTCACATTCCTTGACACAGCAATTCTCAACTTCTAGGAAATATTTCATAATGTCAACAAAATACATTTGTATAACAATTTTTACCTCAGCATTGTTTTTAATAATGAAAATTGAGCCTCATAAATAATAATAGAGGAAACATTAATAAAATTCTTCCTGAATTATATTTATGAGGAATTTTAATAATGGGGATATTTTTGTGATAAAGACTAAATAAACATGATTTTTAAATTGTATACATGTCAAAATCTCCATTATGTAAAATGTACACAGACAAAAACAAAAAGGAAACACACCAAAAAGTTAATAGTATAATAGTACTTCTCTGAGTCTGTTGGATTTTTTTTTCTTTAAATTTTTTGCATGCATTCATCATGGTAAAAATGCATTAATTTAAAAATCAGAGAAAAAATATGCTTTAAGATAGCAATATTTCACTTTTTAAAATCTCAACAAGAAGAACTTTTACCTCATGGAACTCTATATTGCTTTAAAATGCTGAATGTTTTACTCTATTGAACAGCGAAGTTTCAAAGTAGAAGCAAACTCTACCTCCACAGAGGTGAAAAGAAACATGAAACCCTCCTTCCTCCCCTCCGCCCTTTTTCGGTTCCCAGTGGACTTCTCTCTTCCTGCTCACTCCCTGGCTCTGATGCCCTCACTTTGCATCACAACATGTTGTTTCTCTCGTTTCTTGGTAAATATCAGGTTCCTTTCAAAGTAACTCAGCAAACATTCACCTCCTTACTCCTCAATGCCGGCTCCCAGCCAGACTGGAGGTAAGTTTTACCTCAGGTTAAACGATGAGTTCCTGACTGGAACGTGGGGCTTCCTACTTCCTGGGCTCTGCCTGGGGCTCCCAAACTAAGGGAGGAGCCCATCACAGGACAACACTGACAAAGGCCCTGCGCCCATCTCCTCCATAGCCCCCTGACACCTGTCAGTTTGAATGCCTCTTCCAGGCATTCACTGGCCTGACAAGGCCACTATCATTTTGCTGTCAGAGGGATTCCTAACAGCTCCTCTACCTGCTGCTTACTAAGCTCTATTTCATCTCCACGCTGTAGCTGGAGCCATATTTCTTTTCATTTCTTTTTTAGAAGGGTTTTGCTATGTTTCCCAGGTCAGATTCAAACTTCTGGGCTCAAACGATCCTCCCCCCTCAGCCTCCAAGTAGCTGGGATTACAGGTGTGAGCCACCACTCCTCGGCTTAGAGCCATCTTTCTTTCTTTTTTTTTTTTTTTTTTGAGGCGGAGTCTCGCTCTGTCGCCCAGGCTGGGGTGCAGTGGCCAGATCTCGGCTCACTGCAAGCTCCGCCTCCCGGGTTCCCGCCATTCTCCTGCCTCAGCCTCCCGAGAGAGCCATCTTTCTAAAATGGAATCTGAAGACATACTTACCCTGCTTAAAATCCCTCAACACCCCTCACCTCCACCGCCTTCTCTACCACTGCCGCTTTTAAGGCAGATTCTAAACGATTTAACTTGGCTGTGTGACTGGCCCTTCCTAGCCTCTCCAACCTCATATTACTTCTCATGTATTTATATATTTTTATATATATATACACACACACACAGACACACACACACATTTTGGAGACAGAGTCTCTCTGTCACCCAGGCTGAAGAGCAGAGGCACAATCTCAGCTCACTGCAACCTCTGCCTCTGGAGTTCGAGCAATTCTCCTGCCTCACCCTCCCAAGTAGCTGGGATTACAGGCACCCGCCACCACACCCAGCTAATTTTTGTATTTTTAGTAGATGGGGTTTCACCATGTTGGCCAAGCTGGTCTCGAACTCCTGACCTCAAGCAATCCACCCACCTCGGCCTCCCAAAGTGCTGGGATTATAGGCGTGAGTCACTGCGCCTGGCCCCTCATCTATTCATATATTTATTTACTCCATGAGTTTGGGTGGAGCACTTTCTATGTGTCAGGCACTGGGCTGGGTGCAAGGGGTAGAGCTCTGAAAGAGATGCACCCTGTTGGCATGGAAGCCAGTCTTCATTGCAGCTCTATCTGTCCTTGTTACTCCAAGTGTGATCTGTTTCTTGTTGCTATCTGGAATTGCAGCATCGGCATCACCTGGAAGCAGAACCGCAGATCCTTTGCGAGACCCTCGGCATAGAAATACACATTTCCATTCACTGGTGAGTTCTTATGCATGTCAAAGTTGAAGAAGCATGGGTTTGTGTCTCTTGAACCCTCAGTGCTCTCTCTCTGCTGCAGCCCTCTTCACATGCATTCAGCCTGGGATACTCTTGGCCCTGATCTTTGTCTAACTCCCCTCTATCCTTCCAGTTTCTGCATGGCACTTAATGTCTGTTAGGAGGACTTCCTTCCCTGACCCCCTAAGTTGGAGTTGTGAGCCACCTATGTGGTGTCACCATCAAAGCACTTACGGCTCTGTTCCGTGGATGCTGCCCCTTCCCCTACAGATGCTGTAAGAGCAGACACTGTGTCTGTCTCTTCATATTTGCATCCCTAGCAGCGAACCTACTGTCTGCCATAGGGTTGTAGGTCAATAAAAAGCTATTGGAAAAAACACATACACAGAGAGAGAGAGAATCCAGTGCAACTGTATAATTTCCAGGCTTAACAAATAAGTTAAAGGTTCTTAATTCCTCAAGAGAGGGTGGGATTTGGAGGTAGTGGGCAGGTCCTAGGAAGAAAACATTATCTTCATCATTTCCTTAGTTTCATGGTTCATGTTTTATGTACAAGTTTAGCTTTGTCCAGAGCCCCTGCTGACCCACTAGGCATCTTTGTGTGAATTAGAAAGAGAAACTCCTTCCTCAGCACAGATGTAATTCCAGACCATGGTCCATGGAGAACTAAGCAAGGAAATCACAAGTTGATTTCCACTTCCCCCTAAGAGGGTATAGCCTGCACGACCTTATGTGTTAGCCCTGCCTGGTACCCACAATAAAACTGAGAATGGCCATGGAGCAAACAGTGGAAACTAGTCCTGGTGCTACATGACCTTGGATGAGGAATTATCTTTCAGTTGTGCCTATTTCACAGCGCTTAAAGAATCCACATTTTAAAATACAGTCATGCCTTACACAAAGTTTATTTTCTAAAGGTAAAAGCTAGGGTGAAAATTGTATATGATCATAATTACTCTTGAAAATGCTTTAATATCACCCATAAAGTAGAGCCTGATGCCCAGGTTGATATGCCACTTTGGAGACTATCAATAAACCTACCACAAACTTCAGGAAGGAAAGAAATGCTGATTCTTTGGTCGGCCATCATTTGATCTAGTTGGTTTACCTGGGTAGTTCATGTCTACCTAAAGTACAGAACTTCAAATATCAGAATCAATCACTTTCAGCATAGTGAGATACTCATAATACAGGATCTTCAGCCCCAGAGACAGCTAGGAGAAGGCAGATTGCCCTGTCGCATCTCAGACTCACTCTGGGGCATATGCTCACTGAAACCAAAGGCAAGTGAATCATTAGTGCTGCCAAAGTGGTAAACTTTTAACTTATTCCATTAGCTTATGACACATGTGCAGAACATGTCTTTCTGCTGTTGGTATGCTTCCGGTAAGAGCTGTTGCTTTGAGTTGAGTCGTGTTCCCCCATAGTGGAAACACTGGCATACAGCCCTTCACAGTCTTTCCCTTCGTTCCTCTCCTAGCTAATAGTGGGGTGGGAACTAGATCTGCCAGCAGAGGGAGTGAATTGGAGCAAGGCAACGACTCCAGTGTGAAAGCTTTGGTAACAACCCTCTCGGGCTTGTGGATGGCCAGTGCTAATCTCTCAGACCAGTATCGGCACAGACTACCAAGCAAGCAGTAATCTCAGTCACCTACTCCAATACCCCAGACCTGAAAAAAGTCCCGGCTGCTCCCAGATAGAAACAACACATGCCCTTTACTTTCCAGGGCAAAACATATCACTCAAACCTAAATGCCACCAAATTAAACAGATATCCTCATGTGCCATAAGGACCGCCCCAGAATTGTTGAATTGAACCAATTTCCTACCAGTCAATCCTGCATATAAGCAACAGGATTTCTTACAAAACTAGTGTTTTTAAAAAACAGAAACAAACCACTATTAACACCCATGCAGCCTTGCTAGGCCCATATACCCTACTTTCCCTACTTCTAATACAGCTAATCTCCAACAGGAAACCTCCTAAGGGAAGAGCAAGTTTTATACTTCTGTATGGCTATTGACCTAAAACCTCATTAACATACTTTGTGGAAGTAATTGTAGCCACAAACAAATACAAATTAACAATGTATTGCTCTTAATACTGGGGACAAACTTTTATTTAGAAGCTCTTAATTAGGCACCCACTGTGTTACTTGTGCTAAGTGCTGTAGAAGATAGATACAAAGATGAACTGGACAGAATTTCTGTCCCATCTTGTCCCTCCCTTTTTAAAAAGTCTACAAGTGCCTTAAGCTAGCAACTCACCATATGTAAACCAGTAGGAAAAAACACTAACTCTTAGCAACAACAACATAGATGAAGAAGTCTTAATTAGTGACAAGAACCTCATCAAATGTTCCTGTGAGAAACAGTGTAACTGATTAATCTGTATCATTCATCCCAACATACACAATGGCTTCAAGCACCAGCATTTACCTGATGGGAGAGAAGAAAAACCAAGACAGTAACAGAGGAAGAGGAGATATTTTACTATTTCAAACACATAAAAAGGTATAGTTCAGAATGGTCTCAATACTCACTGTTCTTCTTGTACATTAAAATTTCAAAGGAATTCATCTCATAGTTCTCAAATGTTTGCCGCACTTTTTCAATCGTGTCTTTATCAGTCAGCTCCCCATACATAAAACTGCAAACAACCAAAGAACTCAAGTTAGATTAACAAGTATTCATTATTCTACAACCATATGTTAAATATCTGTTCTATATTCAGCACTGTGCTATGTACTGTGGAACAGATACACACACACAATGAAAACATTAACTGACTCAAAAAAATTTACTGATTCAACTCTGAATAAGACTTTTTCATTGCCTCCAAAAAACTAACAGTCTAATGAGAGATACACACCATAAAATAGTACATCAGAAAACAGTGGATTAGAGAACAGTGTGATCACTGCCACAATGGCAAGCACACATAATGAATTACAGAACACACAGAATAGGCACAGTGCACTCCCTGGTTGATCAGAGAATGCTTCCCAGAAGTAAGGACAATTAAGTCTAAGGGGCAGGAAGGAGGGGAAATGGCTGAAAGAAAGAAGGAGAAAAACATTCCAAACAAAAGACAAGCAACTGCAAAGGCACAGAGGTGACAGTCAGATTAATTCCAGACCCTGATTATAGTTCATTTCAGTATGATTGAAATATAGACAATGAGAGGGAAATTTGCAACAGATAATATAAAGAAGTAAACAGAGGCAAGATCATGGAGGAGACCACGGCATTATAAGCCATGGGAAGTAATTTAATCTTTATCTTGAAAGCAATGGGAGCACACGGGAGGGTTTTAAGCAAAGGAGAAACATAATCAGATTTCATTTTAGAAATACAACTCTGGGAGACTTCCTGGTAAAGATGGCTGGGTAAGTTTAGACCATAGATTTTTTTCCTTTTCTAGTTCTCAGCAAAATAAATTCATTTATTTAAATGTACATGTAATGTATTAGAGAAAACCTCAGAAGAGTAGAAGGTCTACCTACCAATACTAGTTCTCACCAGAAGCAAGAAAAGCGCCAGGACTGTCTATTTACCTGGGCCCCACACTGAATCTGGTCTAAAAATTATGGTTTGTCCCTCTGGGAACAGGATATACTTCCAATTAAGCAGAATGAATAATGGCACAGGAGACTAACAAAATGCCAGAGGAGGGGGGAAAAAACATGTTTCAATGGGGCTGGAATGTCCAGTTCTCTGACAAAGGCTGCCCATGGGTCCAGCAAGCATTTCCCCTGCCCACCCCAGGCCTTCAGACTGCAATAACAAGAAAGAGCAGCAATGATCACTCCTCAAGTCAGGTAATGCACAAACTGGCATGGGTTCCTGAATGTTACTGTAAAGTCAATATCATCTAACCTTTTTTGATGACTTGAATCACAGAAACATAGAGTTTCAGAGCTACAAAGAACCTCAGAGGTTATCAAGTGCAATTTCTGATCTAAAACTGAACCACTAAGTCAAGCACTATGCTTAGCTTGATACTGGAACAACCCTGGGCTTACTACAGGCTTCCAAATTCTGGCACCCAATAAGAAAAGAGTCCTAGCTGTTGACTTGGTGAATTCTGTGTCACAGTTGTTATTTTATGTCCCTTCCCAGTCCTCTGAGGAATGTGATTATCTGTGGTTGTCCTTATGCACTCTGCTTTGGGGTTGTACTCTTTGTCTGTAAGCCAGGAATTGGAAAACTGAGCTTGTTGAATTCTCTCTAGAAAGAAGAATAGATCAAGACTAATTTAGCCCTGCCTAAGAATAAGAGGATTTTTCCTCTTTCTCTTTGTGAGTTAATTTTCTGTATAAGTGACCTCCATTTAAATGAAGTGATGGCATATATGCTAGCAATTTCCTTAACAAGGTAAAAGAAATCTCTGTAAAGTTGAATCTTCAAATAAATGAAGTGCCATAATTACACCCAGTTTTCATTCGTCTTATGTACTTTTTCAAGCTGTAGATTACCAGTAGTTCTAAGTGTCCTTTACCTAGATCTTAGATTGCAAATGCTTACAATGCACAAAATAAGTAAAAGAGACTCCTGAGCTATCAGGAACATAGCTAGCACAAAGGTATGTTTATTTATAGAGAAGGAATACCTTCGGGTAATTCAATAAGTTGCTGAGAACTGTGCATAAAAAAAAAAGCTGGCTAAATTAGCAAGTTATTTTATCTGATTTCCTTAAAGTGTCTGATTATAGCCAATAAGAAGAAAGGTAAGGAAAGGCTGTTCAAGTCCCACTAAAAAGTGAAGCTACGTCTCTGAAATTGTTCTGATTATGTATGTGCAGTACAGATAGAGATGTAGATGCAGATAAACAGATCTGTAAATACTTTAGAGGATAACAGCACACAAAGAATATAAGATGATTCTATTATATTAAGAATTATAATTTCTAAACCCTTGAACAGTCAGGGGGAAAAATCTTCAATTTTCCATTTCTCAGTCCCCAAAATCTAAGATTTAAGAAAGTGGAAATATTTTCCAAACATCTGATACTTCCTTCTTATGAGCTCAGACATTTATTTTATTTTAGAAGACTGTTTTATTTTAAAATAATGTAAAGTGACATGGCTGACTTAGCAAGTAAAAATGCAACTTCTGAAAACAGAAGACTATGCTTGGTCAGACAGTTTTCTCCACTCTTCATAGATGAATTTGTTTCTTCATTTGGCATGAATGATTCCACTTCATGCAAACACCACTGAAGACAGAAGACGGAAGAAGGCAGAGACTGAGAGGAGCCAAAAGGCTATGGTGGGCCAAGACCTTGCCAGGGTACAGCAGGGGAATGTCTGGCAGGATCCAGGCTGTATGTCTGGCTCAACACCTGGAAGATGCTTTAAAAGAGCTTTTCTAACACCACGGCCCAAGGACACTGCTTGGTTAGAAACCCTGTAAAAATATACCAGCTTCACTGTTAGTACAATTTGCTAAGAGTTCAGAGAGAGAGAGAGGTAACAGCATGAATTAGAAGGCAACAAAATATTGGTTCTCTCATCTTTTTCTGAAGTAAAAAAATCTGGCTGAGGCCAGGTGTAGGGGCTCATGCCTATAATCCAGCACTTTGGGAGGCCAAGGCGGGCAGATCACCTAAGGTCAGGAGTTCAAGACCAGCCTGGCCAACATGGTGAAACCCTGTCTCTACTAAAAATAAAAAAGAAAAGAAAAATTAGCCGGGTGTGGTGGCACACGGCTGTAATCCCAGCTACTACTCAGGAGGCTGAATCAGGAGAATTGCTTGAACCCAGGAGGCGGAGGTTGCAGTGAGCCAAGATCACGCCACTGCACTCCAGTCTGGGCAACAAAGCAAGAAGCCATCTCAAAACAAAAAAGAATTTTGACTGAAGAAAAGCTCTAGGAGCAAGGCCCTTGTCTCCAACATTGTAGTTACTCTTCTAAAATGCTCACAAATTTTTAAAAATTGTTTTAGTCATCTAAAATTTCATTTCACTGTATTTGAGCCTCTAACTTTCACATTTAATTTAATCTAAAATGCCATAACTTTTGAGTTCACATTTTATAGACAGAATGGTTTTCCTGAGTTCTTCTGGGTTTTCTCCCATCTTAGTGACTGCAAGTTTGTCAGTTGTGGGAACTATGTTTTATATCTGCTTTGATTTTCCCAGTACAGTACATGAACTAGAGATGATATGGCAATAAATTTTCCTCTGAATACACACTGAATGAGGTAAAGGCAATTCCCAAATGCAGTAAGCCACTTTCTTTTTCCAAAAGATATCATAATAGATTGTTCACCAGAACAACCCCAAACATAAATACCTGCAGGTGCTGCTTTTTTGCATCACTTCTGCCCTGTGATAGCCAGAGAGCTTGCAAAATCCATCATTGCTGTACACAATAGGCCAGTCCACTATCTGAGCATTCCCCAACACAAAATTAGTATCTGTTAAAAAAAAAAAAAAGGGAAAAAAGGGCACATGAGGCAACATATTAGTTGAGATTCAATGAGGACATAAATAATGTCAAGCAATCCAGATATTTCTGTTTCCCTCCAAAACACAGACTTTTGAACAGGAATGTGGCCCTGTAAGGAATACAAAACAACATTGTTTTAGAAGTGAATATTTTGAATGCAAGTGCTAACTTAGGTCACTGTACTCCAAAAACAAGTTAGAAAAGAAAGCGTACCTAACCAGACCAACGAATCCTGCAGAAATCCAGTGGATTCCCATGAGACATATTTAAGTCCTAATTTTTCATCCCAGTGAAGGTATACCAATAATACAGAGCAAGAGACAGCCCAAAAGTAATTTATTCTGAGCTCTGTCCAGCATCTTAGCCTTTTCAGTCTTTTGGCCAGAAGCTAAAGATTTGCCTTCTTGACCCTAACTAGGATTTGCCTAACCTAGGGGGCATCTCAGGAAGATACAGGAAGGAGGCTGAGCACTGCCTCATGGACACACATACCACCATGGAACCCTTCCCTTGGTAAGGAATAGTAACTAGACTCTCTTAATACTAGAGCTTTTAGAGGCTGATCAAGATGCCCACACAACAGGACCTTCTTGCTAATTTTGAAATTCTTGCTGATTTTGAAATTCAGTCACAGAGCTGTTTGTGTTTGGCCAGTTTAGTGTATTCTCACTACTTCCCACATTTTTGAAAATCAGTCGTCAATACTTTTTATGCTCAGGAAATCAACTGTCCTTCCTTTCTTTTCAAGCATTTCAATTAAGCAAATAACTTCCAGAACTTAAATGTAATCATTATTTAAGTTTGGCCCTTCCTTTCCACAGAAGACCCATGCACTTCCCCACCCTCCAAAAAAAGAAAGAACACAAACATCCTTCTTTAGTTGTAAACTGGAGAGGGTATTGTGTATGTATGTGTGTGTCTGTATATACACATACTACATAGAGTGAAATAATAGTGATATATTATATCATGATTTAATTGAAAGCATTTACAGTTTTTTCACAATATGGGTAGCCATCCCTTCAGATAGGCTTCTGCACTCTTCTTAGATGAGTTTATACTTGATTTGGCAGGCTTGGGAAAATGATTCCACTTCATACGGACACCACTGAAGACAAAAGACTTGGAAGAAGACAGGGTCTGAGGAGCTAAGGGTTGTGGTGAGCCACGATTTTACAGAGGAGGGTGAAGGAGGAGGAATTACTAAACATGGCAATCTATTATTGAGAATGCTTTGATCTATTTAAAAGGAACAGAAAACACAACATTTATGAGGTGAATCTATAAAAGCTACTATTTTTATAAATATGCTTTTAATGAAAATCTACAACCAGTCCTTCCCTCCATCTGTCCCATATATACATAAATTGCTCTTGAGTGCCAACAGGTGCCAAGCACAATGCAAGATCCTGGGGGGTCTCCAGATTGATAAGAAACGGTCCCTGCACTCAAGGAACTTAGCAAGACAAATAGATATGTCCACAACTAACTAAAGAAACAGGTAAGAAAACAATGAACTCTGAGAGAGGTAAAGGGCTGTATCTTAGAGGGGATAATATTTGAATTTGCTCTAGTCTAAAAGGATGAGTAAGATTTATTTAAACTTTTTGAATGCCTCATATGTAACTGGCACAGATAATACAAAAACAATAGATACAGAAATTAAAATATGATCACTGTCTTCGTGAACTCAAGAGGGTGTGAGAGGAAGAGAGCATTCCAGGTAGAGGATCCAGCGTGGGCAAAGGCATGGCAGCATGGAACACGGCGCAGGCTAGGGTAGACAAAGGGCAGACAGGAAGAGAGGCAGGATGAGTAACTGGAGACTAGACTGGGAAGGGTCTTGAATGAATAAAGTCAGAGAGTTTTGATTTTATCCTAGGGGCAGAATAATCCTTCATATTGGTCTTCTCTCCCTGAATAAACTCAATTTCCTGAACTGAATAGCTTAGACTTAAAAGTAGTACAGTATTTACTAAATTCCTCCCAAGTGTACATGAAGTCTAGTCAGTTTGACTATCTCTTTTGTTAAATCCTGAAATAGTAGTTAATTTCCCTCAAGATACCTAGAGCAGGAGGAAAAACTGAGTATTCTTTATCATGGCTAATGCTCCACTGAGATTATCTATGCAGAAAGAGGAAAGAATAGCCAGTTATAGATAATGGATTGGCCACATGTGTTTATTTTCTTTTGTATACCAGACCCCAGTAAAATAAAAGTAAACAAATTAAAAATGTAAAAATCCACAAAAATGAAAATTACATAAAAAAAGAATGAACAACAAAAATAAAATAACTGGGGAAGAAGGTGCAATATTATAGGAAACAGAGAAGAACTTAAAAAAAAAAATCTAATTGGTATCCTTAGAGAGATTCAAGAAGTATTACATCCACAAAACAAAAACAGAATGCTATGTGGAAAAAATAATAAGGGAACAAGAACTCTTGTAAATTAAAAATGAATAGCAATTAAATATTGAACATGAATTTTAGAAGATACAATCTAACAGAAAGTAATACAGAAAGAGAAAGAGACAAGAAACACGGAGAAGAAAAAAAAAAAAAGACACGGAGGGTCAGTCCAAGAGGAAAAACATGCACCTGAAGAGGAACAGCAGAAAGAACAACTTGAGAAAAGGCCAGAAGACATTCTTCTTAAAATTAAAACAATCAAATGTGAGTGTACAATGAAGATATTTTCATATATGCAAAGATTAGGGGAAATTATTTACCACATATTCTTTCTTTGGCAGTTACTTGAGTAAAATGAGGGAATAAAGCAAAAAGGAGGACAACATGGAAACCAGGAAAAAATAGCTCCAAATGTAGAAAGCAAGGAAGAGAGCTAGTAGACAGTATTCAATACGAAACAATTCAGAGACTAGAAGTTCCAAAAGAGAATTATCTACAGGTAAAGGAGGTCAGGATTTGATGATATTCTTGATTATTTAGAACAACATTGTCAATAAAAGTATGGCAGGAAAGGGAATTAGAAATATCAAAGAAAACAAAAACCAAAATCTCATCATCACATCGTTGTAAGAATAAGGTAAGCACCTTATTAATTTCCAATTTTAAAACCAAATGATACTAAAAATACAGATGATACTGTATTTTTAGTGTCAGAAATACTGACACTAAAAATACAGATGATAAAAGTTTAGGGAGAGAAAAGAGAACAATGATGAAGAGAATAAGAGATGGTGTGTACAGCTGATTAAAAAATGGTATAAATATTTTACTTAAAGTTGCAAAAATAAACAATAAGAGAGTAATATAATCATATTAGGAGGAGGGGTAGGGAGTAAGATTAAGTGAGCTAAAACCTCAACTAATTAACAGAAGTCAACAGATAATATCTAAGATGGATAAATCTATAAATAGCTGTAATGCATGTTATTTAGAGACATGGCAGAAACTATAAGAAGAAAGCTAAAATTAGAAGACAGGGCCTCTGGTGAGTAGGATGGGAGGAGGGACAAGGCATAGAATGGTTATTGACATTACCTTACAAGCTCTTCTGCTTGATTTTTGTAAACATGAACTTACTGACTTTGATAAAAATAACTATGTACTTAATTTTAATTACTTTAATCTAAAAGATTAATTTATTGATCAAATTTTTTACTTACTGAAAAATGAGAGCAAGATAGATTTCAAGCTCCAGTATCACTGCAAGTGCTCACAAAAGTATTCTGATCACCTTTTAAAGTTATTCAGCCTTCTGGAAGCACACCCTCAGTCCCTGGTGTGCATATTACAGCCCCATGTAAGAAAAACCAAGCCCACCGCCTCTGCCAAGCGGTCCCACCGTCTGGGAAGTGAGGGGCGCCTCTGCCCGGCCGCAGCCCTGTCTGGGAAGTGAGGGGCGCCTCTGGCCGGCCACTGCACCTCTGGGAAGTGAGGAGCGCCTCTGCCCGGCTACCCCACTGTCTGGGAAGTGAGGAGCGCTTCTGCCGGCCCCCACCCCGTCTAGGAAGTGAGGAGCTCTCTGCCCGGCCCCCCCACCGTCTGGGAAGTGAGGAACGCCTCTGCCCAGGCACCTCACCATCTGGGAAGCTGGAGCGCCTCTGCCCGGCCACTGCACCATCTGGGAAGTGAAGAGGGTCTCTGGCCTGCCGCCGCCCCGTCTGGGAAATGAGGAGCCCCTAACTGGCCGCTGCACTGTGAAGTGAGGAGCGACTCTGCGCCCGCCCCCACCCCCTCCCTCCCGCTCCCCCACGCCCCCCACCCTGGTCTGAGGAGCGCCTCTGCCTGGTCACCGCCAGATCTGTGAGGTGCCCCTCTGCCTGACCGCTGCACTCTCTGGAAAGTAAGGAGCGCCTCTGCCCAGCCACCTCACCGTCTGGGAAATTGGAACGCCTCTGCCCGGTCTGGGAAGTGAGAGTCTCTGGCCTGCCGCCGCCCCGTCTGGGAAGTGAGGAGGGCCTACGCTCGGCTGCCCCACCGTCTGGGAAGCAAGGAGCTCCTCCGCCCCGCCGCTGTGCAACCCTCCAAGTATGAAGTAACAGCCTTGTGTGTGATCTTTCTGCCCTCCCCGAGTTTGCATTTTCGACATTAAAGTTTACTTTTTAACAAGAAGAAGAAGAAAAAACAAGCCCACTAGCGTCATCTCTGACTTTAGTAAGGGAAACAGAAAAATAGGAAATGAAGTAGGAATCGAATCATCAGCCTATCACCCACTCAGAAGATTCTCACCACAGAATTTAAAATTCCAAAAGAGTTTCCTCTCACTGCTAACCCAAGCAAGCAATTATAGCTCTAGGGAGCAAGATTCCCTCGTCACTCCATGATAGAAGGTCTAGGAATTCCCTCTTTACCCAAGGAGTAAGAGAGAATGGAAGAAAGATTTCTAGTCCCAGCCACAAAGCCGTTTGCCTCCAACAGTATAGAAATTCTTTTCCCATCCCTGCCCCATGCCTAGCATGCACATTCCCTTCTATTCTAAACCACAAATAATTGACCTGT